TTTCCTTTGATCTTACCTGACATGACAGTGCAGTTGTCTTAGCATTTGTAGCACCCATGAGGAAAGGTCTAAACTTTGGTTACTAGCTAAGACTTGGGTTGCTGAAGGTTTTATCTCTAGGGCAGGTCCCTAAATGGGATTAACAAGGAAGGGTCAGGGCAGAAACCTAAAAAAATACTTAGGATCACTTGTCTCTTGGAGGGTATGCAAGAGGCTATGATTGAACCTACTAATTTCAATAAACTAAGAGAAATCACTCAAAGACCCACCTAATTTCCAGTCCTCACTCACTCCAGGCAAGAAGAGGTCATGTGCTTGTAGATCCAAGACACAGAAAGACCTAAGTATTCTCACCATACATTCTATCACTCTATCCTTACTAAACATTAGAGAAAAATTCCAAAAATCTAGAATGGGGCTTTCAAACTATTTTATGTCCCTACTAGAAATGGCATCATTTAAGATCTTTAATAATTGAGAAGGTAGAGTGGAAGATTGAAAAGAGGTAACAGGCTGAATATATGGCCACTGCAGTTGCCAACTCTCATCTCATTCTGGGTGACCTCCAGCTTCCATATTCATTCAGGCTAATTGCAGGCCATCACAGGCTTTCCATAGTCCTCACTGGCCAGCTGTAATTGAGATCGGCTGGGACATTTCAGTGGCAACTGTCAAAACCCACATTTTCCCCGCAGGACCATTTCCACACGACAGGCAGAAAGGCTACTGGTAACAGGACTGCCCTTCCCTTGTCTACAAGGAGAAGCTAACCCAAGTCCAAGACTCCCATGGATAGCCTATTCTTAATGGCCAGGAGATGACTTTGACTTGGTTTTTGGACTAGCAGGAACCAACAGATGGAAAAGATCTCTGCATCTTGACTGATACAGCCCAGGGACTACACTGGTTCCTGTATTCTCCGTTGAAGAGCTCCAGCTGACCCCAAATCACTTTTTTGATAGATGCCAGGACTTCATGTTCTTCCCTAATTACCTTCTCTGGCACCACACTTCAGTCCTCTATTCTCTTCACAGGAATATATGGACAAACTCAATTGGGTTAGTTTATTCCCCAACTCATCTCCTCACTAGTGAACAGTGTCTTTACCCATTCTTTCTAGGCACTGTTACTCCTAGGCTGTGATATCCAAACTAGGACCAACCTTAGTGGCCAGAGTGCAGATAGTAGTGGGTTCATCCTTTCATTGGTCTTAAAGGTCCTTCTAAGGACTGGGACATAACATTCCCGAATATTCACTATCTGTAACTCTGGAAAAAAACATTTCTAAAAGACCTCAACTTTTCCCCCAGGGATCCTTAAGAGTCTCTGAAGCCAGAAGCCAAAAGAAGACTCCAAAGTGTCATTACTAAAGTTTATCAGCTGGCATAAAATACTCTTGCAATTCTGCCTCACCCCTTTCTCCCCCCTTATTCTGGCAGGAAACAAAGATGGTCCTTATAGGATGCTCTGGGGCTTTAATGAGTTAGAAATTCCTATTTGCCCAATTGTCCTTAACCTATATACAAATCTTCACAGGGGTAAAGATAAAGCCTCCACCCCTCCCTCTCTCCCTGTAAGGCCTAGATTTCTCTACAAAAATTCTAGTTGCTAGGACAGATCCTAACTCCTGGGATCACATCTAACTGGGAAGTGCAGGGACTTTATTTTAAACATGGGACTCATTTTCCAACAAGCAACGCACTCACTTAGGAGAACGGTGGGGTATTATTCATGTGGATCCCCCAGTTTGGGCTGACAGCCAAACCCTTCATTGGGGCTTTGGAATGTCCTAAAAAGGAGTCTCTAGCACATACCCCTAAAGTGAGCCTGAACCCTACAGGCCTTACAGAAACTTCTTACTAACTGCCTTTGCTCTTGCCCTCCTTATCCTGAGAAAACTCTTTTTACTATGTATTCATGAGAGAAGCGGGGCTGCGTTGTAGTCTTTACTAAACTATCAGGACCCACAAATTGCCAGTAGCATATGTATCTAAAAGACTAGACCCCAGCAGTTGAGTGATGGCCCCTGTACCTCAGGGTATTGGATTCAGTAGTTCTGGCATGAGTTTTCCAAACTGACACAGAGGGCAGGATTGATGGCATTCACTCCCTACCAAATGACAGCTATTCACAATTTAGAGCCTTCATCTTCAAATTTGATTTTGTCAAACCCTGCTACATTATTGCAGGATCCAAATTCTGACCCCCACACTTTAAATACTTTTCTGGTAGTTACTAATCTGATCTGCACTGCCCAATCACTGTACTCCAAGACATCCCCTATCTTGACCCTGATGGCACCTGGCTCACAGATAACAACAGGAGTATGACTTTGCTGCTGTTGGAACTCTCAGAAGTCACTGAGGCTGGCTCCCTCCCCAGTAGCTCTACTTCAGCTCAAAAGGCTGAGGTTATTACACTCACTCAAGCTCTTTAGTGAGGGCCAAATAAAAGTCAGCATATATATTGACTGTCTCTTTCATGTGGTATGTGCACACCAGGCCATTTAGAAGGCTAAGGGATAGCCCCAATCACCTGCCTCTTTTTAAAGACCATCAAGCTCCCAGGAAGGAGGGCATTGCAGATCCCACCAAAGGGCTATAGACCAGGCATCATTGGCTAAATCAAGCTGACAAGCCAAGGAGGCAACCCAACAACCCTGCAGGCAGCCCTACTCCTCACCCCTCCCTACTTTATCCCCAATATACTCTAAGGAAATTAAGGAGGCCATGGCTAAGTTTTTCACACCTGAGGGTGAGTTACAGGGACCAAACTACTGTGTCCTTCCTTCTGCCTTCTCTTGATCAGTCTACTCCATATTGGAGTTTTAACTGTGGACCATCTGTCAAGCCTGTCCCATCTGTTGATATACCAACCCTGAAAGGACAAAGAGCCCCTACCCTTCCTCCCACTTATTCAGAGGTGAGCACCCTTTCTAGGGCAGGACTTAGAACTTGACGTCTTTAGTGGATACGTTTATAGGATGAAGCTTTTCCTACCCACATAGAAAAGGTTCTGTTGATTCTTGCTCTCATTAAATATATAACACCTCCATGTATCTCTAAATCTCTTATTATCAAACAGTAATCATATGAGGGGGTTTCATTATGGTAGTTCCATGTATAGTGTACTTTGAACAAGTTCACCCCTTCCATTATATTCCTGTATTTTCACCCCATCTTAAATATTCTTTATGGTGAGAATATTTAAGTCTTAGCTGGTGTGTGTGTGTGTGTGTGTGTTCACATACATATGCATTCTGGTATTAGGGCTTCAACTCAGGGTCTTGTCTCCTTTTTTCCACTCAAAGCTTTTCCACTCTGCCAATTGAGCCACAGCTCCACCTCCAGCTTTTTGCTGGTTAGAAGTCTCACAGACTTTTCTGTCTGGTTTTGCTTCTAACTTTGATCCTTAGCTCTCAGCTTCCCAAGTATCTAGGATACTGGTGGCTTATCAGCTTCTCCAGGCTTAGCTATTTTTACACATATGCTAACTACATGACCTTGTTGTAGGATAGAAAAGAATTTACTCTTCCCAATTGCACTCTTGTATTTGTTGGCCAGTGCCCACCCCTTTCCAGTCCTCCCAACCAGGCCCTGGTAACCAATTCTACCCTCTACTTTGATGAGTTTGACTGAAGACTTCCCCTACAAGTACTTTTCTTTCACTTACTATAGTGTTCTCTAAATTGACCCATGTGGTCACAATGATAGTTTGCTATTTCAAGGGTGAGTATTCCATTGTGTAAATAATGCCATGCTTTTACAATTCCATCCATCTGATGGATACATTTCAACATGAGAGAATTTTAAAGTAAATATTCAGTATAATGCTTTAAAGTAAATATTCAGTATATATGCTTAATTTGGAGGCTAGGGCAGAAGGGACTCAATTAAGGGACTTAGTAGTCTCCCTTAACTAAGGAGTTATGTCTCCACTTGCCATCTCAAGCAAGTGCTTCCTCAATAATTTCCATACAGATTTACTGTGGTTCAGGAGAAAAAGCAATTACTTTGACATGAAATATTAGCCTCTAAATATTAGAGCCAATTTCAGAGAAAGGCTTCATTATTTAAGACTAAATCTGAGTATTTTCACTGGACAGGAGGTGGTCATTCCAGAATGAACTCACAGAATCTGTCATAAAAATACTAAAGGCACTTAAGCTGCTGCCACTACTACATACCTACATTTATGTTTTTATTATTTTGTTTAGATACCTATATTTATATATAAAGGAATATATATATCCAGAAGGTTTTATGCCACCATAGAGCCAGGAATGTAGTTATGGATTTGTTAAGTATGAGCATATGATTACAGCTTTTTGTTATCATTACTTGTGTTATTTGTGTGTGTGTGGGGGTTTGTTTTTTGCTAGTCCTGGGACTGGACATTGTCCCTGAGCTTCATTTGTTCAAGACTAGCACTCTACTACTTGAGCCACAGTGCCACTTCTGGCTATTTCTGTGTAAGTGGTACTGAGGAATCGAACTCAAGGCTTCATGCAGGCTAGGCAAGCACTCTACCACTAAGCCACATTCCCAGCCTGTTTTGTCTTTTTGGAGATAGGATCTCACTAAGTAGCCCAGGCTGGCCTTGAACTTGTGATCTTGTTTCTGCTCAAGAATGCTGGGATTATAATAGGTACAAGTATGTGTCACCATTTTTAGTTTGTGTATAATTAGTTGGGTAATAAACGTAAATTAAAATTCTCAGTTAAAACTACTACAAGTCAGTTGTAAAAAAAATAGTGTAAACTACCTGTTGGTGACTTAACTTCTATGACAGCCCCCATTTCTGAGAGCTGCAAAAACGCTCATCCCCCCAAATAAGGACCAACACTAGATATTTGCTATCACCACATTTATTCAAACTGACATCACATGGCTTCTGTTAATATACACTGAGAAAAACACAGAATTCCCAAAAATGCATAGATTACAAAGAAACATCAGACAAACTCAAACTGAATATTTCACAAAGAAACCAGTTCATCTTCAAAATGCCATGCTATTAAACACAGAAAGAAGCTGAAGAACTGCTGCTGCTCCACACTGAAGGAAATGAACAAAACCATCATGAAGTCTATAATCTTCGATCAAATCCAGGACCCATAGACAGCTTTCTGGGACAATCTGCAAAATCTGAGTTATGGTCTGCAAATAGTTATCACTGCTGGTTTCCTAATTTTGAGGGTACATATTATGGGTATATAAAAGGGGACTTTAAAAAAAAAGAGAGAAAGACAGAGTGCTCATCAAAACCAGAATAGCATCAAAACTTCCTGGTTCTGTGGGACGTGTGGATTCAAATAGGCAACTTAATCATGATTCCGTTACCTGTATGTAATCCTTCATGAAAGGATTGAGGACATGGGATAATGTCTTGTGCTAAAATGAAATTCTCTGAGCAAAAAAAAAAGAACAAGGTGAGTGGTAAATGGATAAAAAAAATCAAAGATATAGGGAATATAGTGTATTCAACAAAAAGCACTCAAAAAAGAACAATTATCTGCTGGTACTGGTTTGGGGCAGTAATCAAGGATAACATAAATGAGGGACATAAAAGAAAGTGCTAGCTTCTAAATGGTCTTTTTATTTCATTTGCTACTTGTTTCACTAAAAACAAACTGTAGGGCTGTGAGGGTAGCATTGTGGAAGAGTGCTTGCCTAGCAAGCACAAGATGTTGGATTCAATCTCTAACATGAGCCGGGCGCTATTGGTTCATGCCTGTAATCCTAGCTACTCAGGAGGCTGAGATCTGAGAATTACAGTTCAAAGCCAGCCTGAGCAGGAAAATCCATGAGACGCTTATCTCCCAAAAATCACCAGAAAAATGAAGTGGTGCTGTGGCTCTTTGAACTGAAGAGCTGAGGGACAGTGCTCAGGCCCAGAGTTCAAGCTCCACAACCAACCAAAAAAACAAAAACAAAAAACTCTAACACGAGGAAAAGTAAAAACTTCTATCCAGTAACAAAAAAAGGAACAAAATACTCATATATGCTACAATACAGGTGACCCTCAAAAAAACATCGTAGTAAATAAAGCAAGGCAGACACAGAAGACTTCATACTTTATGGTTCTATAAAGATGAAACCGTAAATATAAATGTCCAGGGACCTAAACTATAAAGACAGAATTAGGGCTGGGAAGGTGGCTCAGTGGTAGAGCACTTGCTTTGCATGCATGAGGCCCGGGGTTCGATTCCTCAGCACCACATAAGCAAAAAGAAAAAAGCCGGAGTGGCGCTGTGGCTCAAGTGGTAGAGCGCTAGCCTTGAGCTGAAGAGCTGAAGGACAGTGCCCAGGCCCAGAGCTCAGGCCCCACACCGGATTCCAAAAAGAAAAAAAGAATTAGAATAGTGATGGCCTATTACTGAGGGGTAAGAAGGGGGTTTAACTCTTAACTGTTCTATGCCTCAATTTCCTCATCTGACAGTGATAAGTGTCTATTTTATAAGGCTTCTTTTAAAGATCAAATGAGATAATACAGATAAGAGTGATGTACTCTCTACAGAAAGGACTGGGGCTTTGTAATTTAGTACATGTGCGTTACAACACATTTCTTGCTAGGTTCACTCAGCCTAAAAATCGGGGAAATAAATTCTTCCCAAGCTAATACAAAGGTTTTTTAAAATAAATAAAACTAGAATGTTACTGTAATATGCATGTACTAATTTACAAACAGAGGAATACATATGCATATAGTTAAAGTTTTTGCAACAAACTATTTCACCCTAGACCTGTTTCTTAATCAACGCAGACAGCTTAAAATACTTGGGGAAAAAAATTCAAGAAACACACATGAAGTGTAAGCCCCAAAGAAAATAAACTAAGTTAACCTTATTTCTCTAACATCTGGAGTCACAGGGAAATGAAATGAAGGGATTCTTCTCTAGTCTCCTTACCTTGTTTCCATTTCTTTACAGAAAAGGAACTTCAATTCTCTAATTTTTTACTACATTATTTTTTATTATTATAAAGAGTAAGATGGTATTCTTGACAATATCCAAGACCAACAAATTCTGCAAGTAATTAGTACTGGGGACAAAAGCACCTATCTCACTGACAGCCTACATTTTCCCATATCATTCTGTCTTTTGTAACATATGCTATGGTATTGGAGGATGTAGAGGGATGGGAATTTATTCTTCCCAGTAGGTGTCAAATAATGATAAAGACATTATCTCCTGAACTCAATCCTTTCAATACAGGTATACAGAGTGAAAAGTTGCGAATCCACCACTCTATCAGACAAATAATTTTTTTAATTTAATTTTTTGAAATAACTACTTCTTTGAATATAACCTGTATATCTTTGGTCAAACTATTTTCTCACCAGCATCAGCATTTATATTCTCTTACGTATTTTCTCTCAGACCATTTATAAAAAGTACTTCTGTTTTCGTCATTCTCTGATTAAGTATTTCCAGAAAAAGTTTTCACATGAGGAGAGAGTAAACACAAATTCCAATACTTAATAAATTTTATCTTGGTAACATCAAAAACAAGTTTACACTTTAAATTGCATTATAAAAAATACATCAGTCTTCACATTAGTTTTACATGGAAATATATAATTATTTGAATATTTAAATATAGCTTTTCTTTAAGCAAAAAAAAAAGTGTTACTCAGAGCCCTAGTTACATAAATAATTTAAATGCACAATGCAAAACACACACACACATTTTACACAATATTGTCCACATCAACTGTATATAACTCAGGACAATTACAGTAAAAATCTATGCAAAATACTCAAAAGGATAAGGTCAACAAAGTATTCATTATGGTTGTAATTTGACTTTTTACTATTGAAAGAATGCACTCTTGACTACACAAAATCACCAATTGTTTATCTAATCTGCAAATTAAGCCAACATTTATTTAGACAAAGGGGCACATTTTGTATCCTACCAAAGTCTGAATGTCATTCCAATTTAGTTTAAAATTATGTTTTTACAATTTCAAGTTTTCAAGCTTGCCTAAAGTAACAATGGGCTAAGAATGTATAAGATAATCCAAAATGTTAATTTGGTAATGTAAATTGTAAATTGAACTTTTTTCTCTGTCCTCTCTTAAGACAGTACTTAGAAGAGCTTCTAATATGTAAAAGGTAATAACACTTTAAATCTGATCACTTGAATTTTAAGTCCTATCCTCTATATATGATGTAATCATGAGAGGTATGATTCCTCACATTTATGTTGTATGTTACTTTTTCCATGAACTGAAAGAACATAGAATGTATCTTAGAATTATGTGTCTATGCCTGACATCAATACCTATAAATAGAATGTATATACTTGCTGCTTGGTTGATTCCTAATCAGTAGGACAGAGCTTTCTTCCTAAATTAAAATTGGAAGATTGCTTGAAACTAGTGGCCCACAATGATATTTTTTAAGGAAAGAAACTGAAATAGGTTGGCATATAAATGAGGCAAGGTTGAAGGAATGCTATACATGTCACCTTTGTAACTAAGAACTACACATCTGCCCACTTTTTTCAATATAATCACTGTTCAATTTAGAAGAAATTACAACATTATCACCATCATAACGTACCCACAAGTTAAATAATGGCCCCTGAAACAAAACCACATTTAAATTTCATTAATTCTAACACATTTTTATCTCTGAAAACAAGACACACCTTAACACTGACTCTAATTTCAATAAAATATAGTACTTACGCAATATAGAGGAAATTCATGTTTCCCCTTAACATCAATGACAAAAAGATCAGGGATCTTGGCTGAACAGGATGCACCTGTACCAGCTCAACTGATGTCCCTAAATAAAGAGTTTGAATATGCTCAAGTTCTGTAGGCTTACACTGAATATCTTGCCACTTTTTAATCTGAACTATAGAAATCAATCAGTTTAAGGTAAATTTTCATATTCATTTACTTTAAACTAACTAGTCTAGGATGATCAATTAGATAAAGGTAAATGAACATACAAGTACTGTTTTTCACTTGTAAGCTGGGCCTCCACTTAGGTTGGCTTTGTTCAATTCAGTGAAATGTTATGCCATTTAGTAATGACCATAACTTAATGGCCTGTCCAAATGACACACTACCAAGCCAATAATTTCAGTTTAAGCTATAATGTATAAGGTATTATTGAGATAAGGCCATAAAACTACCTGGATTCTTATAGTAAACTACTAACCCTTTAGGTAAAAGGTAAAGATGTTTGTTTAAAAAAAAAAGCCTAATCAAATCAGTGAAATTGTTTTCCTCTTAAAATCTACTAACGCTAAAGAAGGGGTTTATGTATGCCTATATCCAAATAAGAAAAATTTCCAGACTTGCAGATCCAATTTCAACGAAGTAGAAAGAATTTGGTATGTCTATAAAATCACCAGGCACTTTTACAAAACTAAAGACTGTGGTTTCTCATTCTCTGAAATAATTTTAAAAGAAAAAAATTATATTTTGTTTGTGATCATCTAAGTCAATTATGCTAAAAAGTCAAGATTATTTAAGTTCATTTTTCTAGTTATCCAGTTCAAATACTATATTGACAATTCCGATTGAAACATGTAGACTCTTAAGTATATGTGTATTTGTCCCAATTCTTAAAGAGATGGTATCAGTAAGTTTGCTATGATCATTCTCGCAATGGTATAGCTTGCTGGCATAAAAGATTACCACTAAAAAAAAAAAATAAGGACATGATTTAAGGGACAAAATTCTACATATTGTGCTAAATTATAAGACAACAAATTAAGATAAAGATCTACAGAAAATGGACAAAAGTTGCTTTTTGAATCTTAAAAAAAAGGACTCTAAACACTAATTTTAAATGAATATAAAATTTCTGAAAAATAATATCTATAGCAAAATAGTTTAAGGTCAGTTTTCCCACTCAACTTAGGAAAACTATGAGCACGAAAGTTCAAAATGTGTTTCAATTTGAAGTGTTCAATTCTCAACTAGCTGTGACACGCAGAAAAAATCCTATTTCACCTCATTACTTCTCAATTTGCTTGTGAGCCGGGTAACCATTCTGACCACATTTGGTACAGATCCTGAACTTCTCAAATCATATTCTCTAATCGGAGCAGACTTCTTTCTTCGGTGGTATTTTTTCTTATACTTCTTTCTTGCTGTAACAGTGGAAGGATGCCGCATGGATTTCTTTGGAGAAAGACCTGAAATAGCTCGTAAGCGCTTTCCAACAGCAATGGGTAGGAGTGAGGAGCTCAAAAACATTTCAGTTGCTCTCTTCACATCCTTTACCCTACTAGCAACAGACAGTTTCTTTTTAAGATAGGTTCCAAGAGCATTGCCTCTGCGTTGAAAACGACGACGGATAAACACGGAGTATTTCAAAAGATACTTTCGAATAACATAGTTGGCTTTCATCTGAACTCGAATGGACAGTTTTGCCGAAGCTAGCTTGAATTTTTGTCGGAGAATAACTGCTTCAGAAGCACTCTTGCCAAAGTGTGACTTATCATCAGTTATCATCTTCCCTTTTGGAACCTTCTTTTTACTTTTGCTGTCAAAAAATTCATTTCTCTCTGGTTTAGAAGCCATTTTGGGAACATCAGGACTTAAAGGAGTTGGCTGGCAATTACTGTCATTTAGAACACCACTAGCACTTGCATCTTCTGGATTTCCTTCAAGTGTTGCAGATTTAGTGGTCCGATAGCGTGACCTTAATTCATATCTTGCTGGTACTGTCGTTGAAGCAGGGTTTCGAGTCTTACCCCTCTTTCTTGTACTGGTGCTTGTTTCACGCTTCTTAAGTCCAGCATTAGCCCTCTTAGGCCTGCCAGAGTTTGGTACTGTTGTCTTCCGTGCAGTTTTCTTAGGTAACGGGTCATTCTGTTTATACGCAGTGTCATAACTGTACTGATTCGTTTTAGTTGAGTTGAAGGACTCATCTTCCAACCGCTTAGTATTTGCAGAAGAAACACAGATCAGGGAATTAGGCTCTACAACTTTAAATTCTAGTGTAGGAAACACAAAAGCTCTGCTTTTGGGTTTTTTTTCTTCGACATTGTCACTCTGTAAATGCATCCTTTTTGGTGATTCTTCCTCTGGTCTGTTTATTTTTCTTTTCTTCAATGGATAGTTTTTGTAATTGATTTCCATTCCATGGCTGACTTTCTCCGTTTGGCTCTGAGAAGCCACATTCTCACTTTGTTTATGAGGCTTCTCTGCTAGAGAACTATGATGGTGTGATTTATCTAAAGCCTCTGAAACACCATCATTCTCTGCAATTCTACCTTCAATATTTTCATGATCCGACTGAGCCTGAACTGGTACAGTGTCTTGGTTAAACCCAGGCCAGGTATTTCTTTCCTCTTCATTTAAAAAAACTTCATTGGTCTCAGAGTTATCATCAAAATAGCAGCGGAAACGACCTTCCTTAAATTCCTTCACAAGTGTATTGATTTTTATGTCATCTTCTTTCATTATCTGAGACCATGTTTTCCCCACAAATGAAGGTGGGACGTGAGGCAAGGCTTCAAGAACTGGTTCATTTGGATTTTCTTCTACAACATCCCTTCCTACGTCCCTTACAGAATCAACCCCAGAAGAAGAGCAAGATGGGGAATCAGTTTCTCTCAGTTTAAAAGTTATTTTCTTCTGCCTTTTTCTAGGAGGAACACGGCTTGACTGGCAATCAATAGGAGCAGAGCCAGGATGGAAATAACGAGTTTTTTCTCTCAGGTCAAAAGTTACTTTCTTCCGGCTCTTTCCAGAACCAACCTTCGGAGCATAGCTTGGTTGGCAATCAATTGGAGTAGAGCCTGGATAGAAGTAATGAGTGTTTTCTCTCAGGTCAAGACTTACTGTCTTCTGGCTCTTTCCAGAATCAACCTGAGGAACACAGCTTGACTGGGAATCACAGCTATTTTCTCTCAGGTGAAAAGTTATTTTCTTCCGTCTCTTTCCAGAACCAACCTGAGGAACATAGCTTGATTGGTAATCAACAGAGGCAGATCTCGACTGAGACTCATGGGTATTTTCTCTCTGGTTAAAAGCTACCTTTTTACGGTTCTTTACAGGAAGCTTGGGAACACAGCTTGACTGGGAATCATTATCTGCTCTCCGGTCAAAAGCTGCTCTCTTACGACGGCGTGTTTTCTTGACAGATTCTTGATGCTTGCCAGGATTAGGCTGAAGAGAGAGATCACCTCGAAAATCCTTCTCAGAACCACTCACACTTGCTAGGTCAGAATGTTCTGACATTGAAGGGTCGTCGTTACTAACAGTATGTTGAATAACTGCCACAGTAGAGAGAGCATCATCTGCTGCAGAATCACTATCTTTCATGCCAGCATTTATTTCATCCCGCCAAACATTGTCTTCCGTGTCAGTTTTCTGCAGTTGATTATTTACTGCCTGAGAAGTATCTCCCAAATTAAAATCTCTTTTAGGATCATTAGATTCACGGCTCTTGTCTTCTGAGTCAACACGACTTTGATCAGGTCCTTGTGGCTGGAAAGTCACAGACTTGGAAGCAACATTAAAATTTAGTTCACAACCACAAGACTGACATGTGGAGTCCCCAAGAATAATATAGTCATTGTTCCGGTTAATTATTCTGAAACTCTTTTTGGACTGGTTTGTCGCTGATTGAAAAAAGGTAGCAGGATCATATTTTACTTCAAAACCACAAAAGTCACACTTCAGACTTCCTACAACAGGAGAATCTGTACTGCTAGTCTGACTGCTAGTCATCTGAGGTGGTTCATTCACTACCTCGAGAGGGGTATTAGCATCTGAAATTACTTCACGATCACAATCGCTGTCATTAGCTGCCACATCTACAATCACCACTTGTGGAGAATCTGTCTCACCATCTGACGTTTGACCTTGATTAACCACTATTTGAAAAGAGACATCAGAATCATACATCATTTCAGAGTCACTAGCTTCACTGGACTTTTCTTCCATGCCAAGCTCTTTCTTCTGAAGGCCTGTTTCTTGGCAAACCACTTGAGGTGGGTCAAGTTCTGTCTGCTGGTGAAGATCAGAATCATATCTTATTTCAGAAGAGTTCTCATTTTCTAGATCATTATGATCCTTCTTTTCCAAGGTTATTTCTTTGACAGACATATCCTCCACAGACTGATCCACCACAATCTGAACAGGTATATCAGAATCACAACTTGCTTCAACATCCACTAGTCTATAGCTCTTATCTTCCAGGTAAATATGGTCTTCCTTCAGATTTATTTCTTTGACAGCATTGTGAAGCTGTCCAACTTCTGAATGACAAGGATCATTGGAATCAAAACTTATTATAGGACAACAAGGATCACTGCTCTTATCTTCCAAACTGGAATGCGCCACTTGCAAACTCTGTGATGGTTGAATCGCTGAGTGAAGAGGGTTATTTGAAACATGAAATACTTCAGAACCTTCTGGTTCATAGCCTGTATTATCACTCAGGATATTTACTTCCTCAATTGGCTCTTGAATTTCATTAGTCAGAGACAGAAGTTCATCAGAATCAACACTCATTCCGGAGTCACTAGGTTGGACAGTCTTATTTTCCAAGTCAACATGTTCTTCCCAATGACTGGTCTCTTGAAATACTTCAATTTGTTCAGCCACTGAATGACAAGGATCAGTGGAATCAGAACTTACTTCAGGACCACAAGGATCATTGCTCCCAAGTTCCAAACTGGAATGCCCCTCTGGCAATATTTGTGATGGCTCAATTACTGAATGAATGGGGGTATCTGAAGCATAAATTGCTCCAGAAGCACATGGTTCACAGTCATTATCATCCAGATGACTATGTCCCTTTCTCAGGAGATTTAAGTCTTTAATAGGTGCTTGAATCTCATTAGTCACAGACTGAAGAAGTTCATCAGAATCAGAGTTACTAGGTTGGACAGTCTTATCTTCTTGGCTGGTTTTCTGAGCTAGTTCAGTTTGTTCAGCCAATGAGTAACAAGGATCACTGGAATCAGAACTTTCTTCTGGACCACAAAGATCATCACTTCCAATTTCCAAACTGGAATGCTCTTCTTGCAAAATTTGTGGTGGTTGAATAACTGAGCAAAAAGGGATATGTGAAACATGAATTATTCCAGAAGTACCTGGCTCACAGTCTTTATCATCCAGGGAAGCATATCCCTCCTTCAGATGATCTACTTCTGTAATAGGTTCTTGAATTTTATCAGTCGCAGGTTGAAGAGGCTCTTCAGAATCACTATTTAGTTCTGAGCCACCTGGTTCGATAACATTATCTTTCAAGTCAGTATGTTCTTTCCAATGGTTGGCCTCAGGAACTGCTTCAGTTTGGCCAATCACTGAATGAAAAGCATGACTGGATTCAAAACTTATTTCAGGACCACAAGGATCACTACTCTTAACTTCCAAACTGGAATTCTCCTCTTGCAAAATTTGTGGTGGTTGAATAACTAAGCAAGAAGGGGTATTCGAAAAATGAATTATCCCAGAACCACCTGGTTCAGAGCTATTATCATCCAGATAAACATGTCTATCTTTCAGATGATTTCTTTCTTGAAGAGGCTCTTGCAGTTCATTAGTCACAGACTGAAGGTTATCAGAGTCAGTATTTATTTTTGAACCACCTGGTTCAATAATCTGATCTTCCAAGTCAACACATTCTTTCCAATGACTGTTGTCCTGAACTATTTCGGTTTGGCCTCCCACTGAATGACAAGGGTCACTGGAATCAGAACTTACTTCAGGACCACAAGAATCACTGCTCCCAACTTCTAAACTGGAATGGTCTCCTTGCAAAATTTGTGGTGGCTGAATCACTGAACAAAAAGGGATGTTTGAAATAAAAGTTATTCTAGAACCATGTTGTTCATAGCCCTTATCATCCAGACAAATAGATCTCTCCTTTATATTTCTTTCTTGAATAGGCTCTTGAATTGTATTAGTTACAGACTGAAGAGGTTCATCAGAATCAAGATTTGCTTCAGAGTCACTAGGTCGGACAGTCTTATCTTCCAAGTCACCATGTTCTTTCCAATTGCTGGTCTCCTGAAGCACTTCAGCTTGGCCAGCCATTGAATGACAAAGATCACTGGAATCAGGACCACAAGGATCACTGCTCTTCACTTCCAAACTGGAATGCTCCTTTTGCAAAATCTGTAGTGGTTGAATCACTGAGCAATAAAGGATTTTTGAAGCATAAATTGCTCCAGAACCGTGTGGTTCATAGCCCTTATCATCCAGATGAGCAGCAGGACCCTTCCTCAGGTTTACTTCTTTAATAGGCTCTTGGATTTTATTAGTCACAGACTGAAGAAGTTCATCAGAATCAGAATTTATTTTGGAGTCACTAGGTTGGACAGTCTTATCTTCCAAGTCAACATGTTCTTTACAATGGCTGTTTTCCTGAACGACTTCAGCTTGGCAGGTCACTGAACAACAAGGATCACTGGCATCAGAGCATATTTCAGGATCACGAGGATCACTGCTCCTAACTTCCAAACTGGAATGTTCCTCCTGCAAAATTTGTGGTGGTCGAATCACTGACCAAAAAGGGATGTGTGAAAGATTAATTGCTCCAGAACTGCGTGGATCAAAGCTCTGATCACCCAGACGAATATGTGTCTCCCTCAGAAGATTTGCTTCTTTAATAGTCTCTTCAATTTTATCAGTTACAGACTGAAGAATTCCATTAGGATCAAAATTTATTTTGGAGTCATTAGGTTGTACAACCTTATCTTCCAAGTCAACACGTTCTTTACAACAGTCGGTCTCCTGAACTACATCAGTTTGAGAAGCCACTGAACGAAGGACAAGAGAGTCATATATAATTTTGAAACCCTTCGCTTCATCCCTCTTACTTTCCAAGTCAACATCTTCATCCATCCAAAAATCTGAATCTCTACTACCTTCACTAAGCTGGACAGCCATTGACTGAAGAGAGTCATCTGACTCAAAACTTGCTTCCGATCCAAAAGACTGACTGTCCTCACCTTGTAGCTCAATGTGCTTTGGCTCCAAAATAGTTACTTTAGGTTGATCAATCACTGACTGGCTTGGGATGTCAGAAGCCAAACTATATTGTCTGTTCTTAGTTTCTATAGTTATGTCAGGTTGACCAGATATAGACTGAAAAGAAACATCAGAATCAGGTATTTCTTTCGAACCTTTAGGTTCAACAGTCTCATTTTCCAGGCCAGTGTCCTCCTGCCACAGTTTTATCTGGGTAGCCATTTTGCGTTGTTCGCTGTTTTTGCTATGCCTTTTAACTTCTTCTTTTTCCTTTGAAAAGGTCTGCTGAGTTTGGTCTAGAACTGAATGGAGACAAGTATCAATATTTGAATTAATTTCAAAACCTCTAATATCAGTACTTTCATCTTCTGGGTCAACATGGCCCTCCTTCAAAACAGCTAGTTGAGGTTTTTCAGTCACTAACTGAGGAAGGACATTAGAATTCAAAATTATTTCAGAAGCACCAAGTTTATCACTTTCTAGAATATGCTTCGTCTTTCTCTTAGCTTTTTTTCCAGCACCTTGAGATTCTGTCCGTGGATAATGAGGGACATCAGAATCTAAATTTATTTCAGAATGATATAAATCAGCACTATTATGTTGTAATTCAGCATGTTTTTCTTTTTGAAGCCAAGGATTTTCAACAAGTACTCGAGGTTTGCAAATAACTGTTGGATAAAGGGTATCAGAACCCAATCTTGTTTCAGAAACACATTCATTACTCTTAGTTCCTAAGTATATGTTTCTATTCTTCTGGAAGTTTATGTCTTTGATAGGATCTTCAGAATGTCCAGGCATTAAGTTAAAAAAATCATAATTCAAATTTAATGCAGAGTCAGCAGGCTCATTTTTCTTATTTTCTACATGGACCTGCTCTTCTTTATGAGAATTTAGTTTTTTAACATATAATTCAGGAGGATTAGTCACTGAATGAAGAGGGGCATGAGAATCCAAATTTATTTCACAATCAATGGGTGTATCATTCTTCCTCGCTAAGTGTACGTATTCTTCTTTCTGAATGATTACTCCAACAGCTACTTCAGGTAGATCATTTCCTGAATGAAGAGGAATACCAGAATCAGAAGTTATTTCAGAAATACAAGATTCATTACTCTTATTTTCCAGATCAACAGGTTCCTCCTCATCAAGTTGGTCAATTACTGAGCAATTAGGAATATCTGAATCAAAAGTTACGTCAGAACTACTTGACTCACAGCTCTCATCTTCCAGGTTAATGCCATCTTCTTTTAGTCTTTCAAAATCCAGCTGAGACCGCTCAGTAACTGACAGAAGAGGGGAATCGGAATCAAATGTCAACTCAGAACTGGAGCACCCATTGCTCTTAACTTCCATGTCGACATTTAACTCTTTAAGATTTACTTCACCCAAAGCCCCTTCAGGTTGATCATTAGCTGACTGATAGTTATTATCATGAGACTCAATACTTAGGTTAGCAATTCTATATTGAATACTCTTAATCTCTAGGCCAATATCTACTTTCTGAGGGTTTACTTCTTTAACTGCTACTTGAGATTGATCAGCCACTAATTGAGCATCAGCATGAAAACCCATTCCAGGACCATGAGACTCACAGTTCATATCCACAAGGCCAGCATTCTTCTTTTTCAGAAGATTTATCTCTTCAACATCTCTCTGGGGTTCATCATCCACTGTCTCAAGATGTGCGTTAGCACTAGTGGGTTTGCGTTTCTTATTTTTTAGGACAGGTTTGGCTTTCAGGTTTCTTCCTTTGACAGTCATTTCGAGATGGTCCTGAGAAGTATCACTATCAGAACTTTCAGAATTACTGGATCCATAGCTCTCATCAACCAAACTAATTCGAGCCTTCTTTCTACGTTTCACTTCTGTGGCAACCACTGGGGGTTTTTCAAGTGAGAGATCATTGCTTTCGTCAGAGCTAGTAGATCCATAGCTCAGATCAACCAATTGAATGCGTGCCTTGTTCGGAAGCCTTACTTCTGGTACAGAATTTTGGGAGTACTCATTAATTGTCTGAAGTGAGTTGCCACCACAATCAAAATTCATTTCGGAGCCACTAGAATCATAGCATTCGTCAACTAAGCTAACTCGCTTTTTATTCTGAGGACTTACTTCTTCAACAGTCACTTGAGACTGGCTGGTAACTACCTGAACAGAATCAGCATGATCATCATCTGAAGCTGTTTCGGAAATGACGGATTTATTATTCTCGTCCTGTAAATTAGCAGGTATTTTCTCTGAAAGGTTTACTTCTCTAGCAGTCACTTCAGATACAGCAGTCAGTGAATGACAAGAGGAACCACAATCAAAACTCATCTGAGAACCTCTAGATTCTGAGTTCTCATCTTCTTGGCCACTTTCTTCTTCCTTGGAAAGCTCCAAGCCTTTTTCAGCATCTTGGGATTGGTCAGAGATTGACTGAAGAGAGCCATGATCCACTTTGTCTTCAGAACTCACTGAGCACTCCTCTTTCAAAGCTTCTGGCTTGTTAAAAACCAACTTCCCTTCTTCCTGGGTGTAATTCATACTTGAAAGAGATTCCTCAAAATACTTTGGAATGGCATCTTCAGAGATTTCTTCATCAGAAGGCATGTTAGGTTTATTCAGCCCTACTACTGAGCTTGCTGCAAATTCAGCTTCTGGTGAACTCTCATTATCAGTAAGTTCACGGAATTCATAAACAGGTGTGGAAGTTTCCCCCCTAGCTCTTACATTTCTCTGAGAAAGCAATTTATCTATATCTATACACACGGTTTGCTTATTTGTTTCTTTAGGGTTCTCCTGTGTATTTGAAGACATAGGACTGCTAGAGGCCCCATCTAGCTCTCCAAAGTATTGGTCAAATTTATTTGCGTCATCACTTTGGCCAAATGACTCTGAAGAGACTGCTAGCGCTAACCTAGTAGTCTTAGCTGAAAGTGGTCTGTCATAAGAACTGTTAGGTAAATAACTAGCAGACACATTACAAATCACTGGGGGACGTATTAACTTTTTTCCATTATTTGTAGGTTGACCAATTTCTACTGGATTAATTTTTCTCATACCACTCTCAATTTTATGAGCAAACGCCAAGGACTGCTGCTGTCCCATCTCCAGTTTTTGAATAACTGATGGACGAGCCGAAAACCCGTTTGCACATTCCTGTGACTGACTAGGTCCACACTGTAGGTCTTCAGCAGGATCAGACTCATCGGAGTACAGCTCTTCACTCTCAGTCTCCTCGTCCCTTTCTTCAGGACGAAACTCATCCACAACCACCACATCAGGCGACCCAGGATTTGCGGGAGCCTCATTTTGTGCTGATCTAAAAAGAAAAGAGGTGGGAGGGGGAATCATAAAAAAAAAACTCTAGAATCTATTTTAAATGTTTTTTTTATCTACCCTATTAGAAGATAAAGAATCAAAGAAATCACATCAAATTGTATCTTCTGTACTTCAGGAGGATAATAATCAGTATAGAAGAAACTTAATGAACACAAATGCCTCCTAAACATAACAAAATGCAAATCAAACATTTACCATTTGTCAATATATCATAGTAAATAGCAAAAGTTTGACAAAAGTTATTTAACTTTGGATACCTCAAATTTCATCTCTGAAAACAATACTATTTTCAGTCATGAGACCATTTTGTGGAATAAATTAGCCATTGTACATAAAGAGCATTAAAAAGGAAGGCATCACACATAGCACTACAAATGTAATTTTGGCAAGGTTGATAAGGGCATAAGCATTTTACGACATTGCTAGTAAGTATACAGACTACTCCAAATTAATCTTTTCCCTTTTCCTTCCTTTTTTTTGATGCCAGCACCAGGGATTAAACCCAAGACATTGTGTTCTCACTCAGTTTTTTTTCACTCTCAGATGGTACTCTAACCACCACTTCTGCCAAATCACCAGCATTTTGCTAGTTAATTGGAGGTAAGAGTCATATCTTTCTTGTGTTGGCTTGAAACTGATCCTTAGGTCTCAGCATCCTAAGTAGTTAGGATTATAAATGTAAGCCACCAACTCCTGGATAGATTATTAATATTTGTGAGATTATTCATCTTTATAAAAACTGGTATCCTCTATGAAGAACAATTTGACAATGTCAATTAAAACTTAAAATATTCACTCCCAGCCGGGTGCTGGTGGCTCATGCCTGTGATCTTAGCTACTCAGGAGGCTGAGATCTGAGGATCTTGGTTCAAAGCCAGCCCAGGCAGGAACGTCTGAGAAACTCTTATCTCCAGTAAACCACTCAGAAAACCAGAAGTGGCTCTCTGGCTCAAGTGGTAGAACACTAATCCTGGATCTGAAGAGCTCAGGGACAGTGCCCAGGCCCAGAGTTCAAGACCCAGGATTGACCAAAAAAAAAGGAATATATATATATATATATATATATATATATATTCACTCCTGTTTTATTAGTTACAACTCACTACTGGTTAAATAATTAAAGGTACTTAGAACACAAAATAAGTTACAAAATAATACGAGCAGCTCTGTATGTACTAATAATGATCAGCCATTATAAACACTGTTAATGAAAAAGTAGAGAATATTAAATATTAAAATACTGCAACTAGAAGAGGATAACTGTTAGGCACAGGGATGAAGTACAGTGACAATAGCATTTTCCAACCAGGTATGGCATGGCCCATACCTGTAATCCTAGTACTTGAAAGGCAGAGGCAGAAGTAGTCTGTGCTACAAAGTCAGTTCTACATAGTCAGACAGACAGACAAAGGGAAAGAAAAACAGAGGAAGGAGGAAGATAAAAAGGAAAGGAGAGAAAGGGAGGGAGGGAGGGAAGGAGGGATAGAGGGAGGAAGGCAGGTAGCCTGCTCAACCCTTCTCTACACTATCTGTGGAAGTTCATGTGAGAAAATGTTCACACTTGTCACCAGCAGGAAAGTAAACAGAATGGCTGGAGCAGAAGACAAGAGTGATCTCTCTTTTTTGAGGGGGGAGAACAGGATGTGCTGTGCTGCCCAAGTTGACCTTTTAATGATTATGCTCAAGCCATTCTGCTTCTGCCTTTCAAATACTTGGAACTACAGGTATGTACCATTATACCTGCATTAAGACTCACTTTGAATGGGCCTTCTGAATTATGCCAATATGTATATATTTCCAATTCAAAATTTTAAATGATGCCATTTTTTAAATTACTTGAAAGTTCATATTTAAAAATTAAACAATATCTCTCTTCTATTACAATCAAGAAAACATTTTTTGTTGTTGTTGTTGTTGGTCATGGGGCTTGAACTCTGGGCCTGGGCACTATCCCTCAGCACTTTAGCTCAAGGCTAGTACTCTATCACTTGAGCCACGGCGCCACTTCCGGTTTTCTGATGGTTTATTGGAGCTAAGAGGCTCACGAACTTTTGTGTCCAGGCTGGCTTTGAACTGCGATCCTCAGATCTCAGTCTCCTGAGTAGCTAGGATTACAGAGGTGAGCCACCAACGCCCGACTAGGAAAACATTCTTGACTATACCTTATATAAGCAGCTGACCTGCAGATACAGACATGAACTACCATGCCTATCTTACTGTTGAAATGGGCTCTCACCTTTTGCTCTACCTGACCTCAAACCATTATCCTCCTAACCTATACTTCCTGAGTTACTGGAATTACAGGTATGAGCCATCACACCCAGCTCTATGTTCTCAATTCATAGAGAAGCAAATATTCAGCCATACAGAAACTATCTACTAAGAACTTTCAACTATGCAATAGGTCCTATGGTAGGTTCAAGGGGTGATAATCTTCTCAAGAAGTAATCAAGTAGCAGCAGAAGGTAGAAAATAATTACAATTCAATGTGCTAAGTATCATATCTGAAACTTTAGAAAAAGATTTGAGTATAATAGCAAAGAAGAACCTAAGAAAAGATGGTGTTTATGCAAGGTGTTATCCAGGATAAGATCCTAAAACAGAAAGAGACTCAACTTAGAAGATCAGCACAGAACCTTCTGAATTAAATGATACCATAACCCAAATGGACTTAACAGACATCTACAGAGTATTTCACTCAACAACCACACAATTCACATGCTTTTTAATAGCCTATAAAACATTCTCCAGGGCTGGGATGTAGCTCAGTGGCAAAGTGCTTGCCTAGCAAGTGCAACGTCCTGGGTTTGAGCTCCAGTGCCAAAAAAAATTTTTTTCTCCAAAACTGATCATATCCTAGGACACCCAACAAGCCTAAGCAAACACAAAAAGATCAAGAGAACTCCATGCACCCATTCTTTTTTTTTTTTTTTTGTCGGTCGTGGGGCTTGAACTCTGGGCCTGGGCGCTGTCCCTCAGCTCTTCAGCTCAAGGCGAGCGCTCTACCACTTGAGCTACAGCGCCACTTCCGGTTTTCTAGTGGTTTATTAGAGATAGGAGTCTCACGGTCTTTCCTGCCCGGGCTGGCTTTGAACAGCGATCCTCAGATCTCAGCCTCCTGAACAGCTAGGATTACAGGCGTGAGCCACCAGCGCCCGGCATGCACCCATTCTTATCACAATAGGATTAAACTATATCTCAACAACAAACGATAGTATAGAAAACACTCAAAACACAGTGACTGAACAACGTGCTGTTGAACAATATGTGGGTCACTGAAGAAATAAAGGAAGAAATCAGAAAGTGCTTACAATTCAATGAAAATGAAAACACATCATACCAGAACCTCTGGTATGATGAGGTAAGTTCATAGCTCTAAGCATACACATAAAGAAAACAGAAACAGCTCAAGTAAATAACCTTATGATACAACTAAAGCTGCTAGGAAAATAGGAACAAACAAAACCCCAAACTACCAGAGAGACAGAAAAGATTGGAGCAGAAATCAATGAACTAGACTAAAAATACTACATAAAATCAATGAAACAAAAAGCTGTTCTTTGAAAAAAATGAATAAAATTGATAGAACACAAGATAAACTGACAAAGAAAAGATTCACATCAACAAAATTAGAGACACCAAGGGAAACATTACAACAAACATCTAAGAAATCCAAAAGATTATGAAGGCCTACTTTCAAAGCCTTTATTACTTAAGTAAGATGGAAAATCTAGTAGATATGGGTGAATTCCTAGAGACAAACTATCTAAGTTGAACCAAGAAGATATAAATCACTTGAACAGGCACATAAAAACTTACGTTAAAACTAAGGAAATCTGAATAAATTAGAGAATTTAATGCATTAATATGAGTTTATTCATTTTATCAAGGTACTATATTAAGAACAAGATATTAACATTATTAAAAATGAAATGATGGCATACTACAGGAATTCCCTATACAATATCTGAATTTTTCCCTACATCTAAAACTGTTTATAAAAAGGCTGAGAGTGGGGGCTGGGAAGGTGGCTCAGTGATACAGCGCTTGCCTTGCATGCATGAGGCCCTGGGTTCGATTCCTCAGCACCACATAAACAAAAAGAAAAAAAGCCGGAAGTGGCGTTGTGGCTCAAGTGGTAGAGCGTTAGCCTTGAGCTGAAGAGCTGAGGGACAGTGCCCAGGCCCAGAGCTCAGGCCCCACCCCGGAACCAAAAAAAAAAAGGCTGAGAGTTCCTGCCTCAAAAATAACCTGAGCATGGTGGTACATATCTATAATTTCAACTACTTGGGAGGCAAAAATAGGAGGAACACAGTCCAAAAGTGGCCCAAATAAACCCAGGAAGACATTATTTTTTAAAAAATACTATGAGTAAACTAGCAAAAGTTATATTATTTATAATTATTTCTTGAATAATAAATCATTTTGGTAGAAAACCAGTTAATGGTGGTAGTCCTAATGATAATAATGAGATACGTATTACGAGGGTAATTAGGGGGAAATGAGTTTCATGTTATAGTAAAAGATGATGTATTGGTAATAGATAAATAGTTTAATGAATAATGTAAAGGGTAATATAAATGATAAGATACATATGACAGATACTTCATTTCATAAGATACATATATATTGTATATGTTGTATTAAAACATTAAACTTTATTATTTTAGAGTTAAAAAAATACTAAAAGCAAAAAGGATAGGGGCATGGGCCACACATAGGCACCACCTAAGTAGAAAAAGCCAGAAGTGGTGCTGTGGCTCAAGTGGTAGAGCACTAGCCTTGAACTGAAGAGCTGAGGGACAGTGCCCAGGCCAAGAGTTCAGGCCCCATGACTGACCAAAAACAAAACAAAACAAAACAAAAACCCAACTCTCATCGCTAAATAACCACCAAAAAAGCTGGAAGTGGAGTTATGGCTCAAGTAGAAAAGTGCATACCCAAGCCCTGAGTGCAAGACTCAGGGCAGACACCAAAAAA